TTGAGGTGAACGTGTGATTAGTGAAATGGCTGCTGGGAAATGTAGTCCGGAGTGACATGTGAAAGTCTGTGTAGTGAGAGAGTCATAAAAATGGAAGAGCGACCTCTGGTGGTAATTGGACGGAAGTCCATGAACCGGATTCATGACATAAGTGGATTTTTATGAAGTTTTGTGGCCCAAATTACACCCATATTACCATAATATAATTTGGAAGACTATTACAGGCTCAGCTACAGTCCTTTAGTCATAATCATAGAGCAGTTTAAGTAATCAGGTTGTGGTGAATGACGTTTAATAAAAGAAGGTAACATTTTTTATCCTTTCTCTGGGTTTCTTTCAACCTAGTAATGCTGGTCTCATCCACAGCACCAATCCATAAAAGCCCACCCTAAAAGCTAGCCGGATATTGATAGTGACTCAGCTGGGATTGCTCCTGCTGGCTAAATTGCAAACGTTCCATCATTGTAAAGTCCACAATATTATTGGAGTTGTATAAAGATTTGGCCATGCGACATGCTCTTTGGCAGCATATCCCTCTGAAATGAATGCGGCCCAATACTGTTGGATGTGTTCATGTGTAATTAGAGTTGACAGGGCTGCAACATCCCATATTAAAGTGCTGAGATAGGCAACCCAATGCATCACTGATTCCCACTCAAGGAAGGTACGCCGGACACCTGAATGGAGCCGCATCGCAGCACAGCTGCGGCCCTGCCTGCCGCACTTTCTTTGTTCAGATACCGTACCATCAATTAAAAACCCTGCATTGCAGACACTCTTCTGGCATTCATTCGTTTTCAGAGCTTTCTGCTAAAAGGCACCACTAAGAGTGTTACAATGAAAGTTCAAGCAATCTCTCTCAAGTTCACTGGCTGCTAGCAGAGCTTGCTGGCAGCTATCAATAGAAGCAGATGTGGAGGCCTCAGGATAGAAAATGTGCTGAAAAACACTAGGTAAATGTGTAGGATAATTACAGAGGTTGTGCAAACGGGCTTATTCGGTGGTAATGTGTAATGTCTGGGCTGATGGGTTAGCTATGTTTGTAAGGCAAACACTTAACAAATACGAATTGAAAGTTGAGTGAATTGCACTGTGGTTGTTTAGACTTACAACTCGAGTGTTAAAGGAATAAGTCACCTAAATATGACAATTCTGTCATTACACTGTAAAAAAATATTTTTTGAAGTAGTAAGTGAAGATTATTGGAGTGCATTTTACAAGAAAATACTATTTCAGTCTTTCAAATTAAAAATGTAATGTTTAGTTAAATGTGTAACTTGTAAATGTCGTAGTGAAAATAGTTTCAAAGTAAATCCAACACCTTTTTTTCAAGTGTATTTACCAAACTCATATTGTTCTGAACCCATATGCACCCATATGCATTTTTTTTTTCTTGTAGGAACACAGAAGTTGAACATTTGAACAACTGTAGTGCAGTTTTTGCCATAAAATTATAGTTAATACAAAAATGATTAAAAATTGCCTAAAGATTCATCATGAAAGTGGTCTGCAGGTTTACTTGTGTGCTTGGAATAAAGTGCAAGAGTCCAATGGACCACCTTTATGTTGCTTTTCTTTTTGTAGCTTTACAGCAACTGGTCACTTTGAGCTGTTGATTTACTGAAAGAGGTAGAAAAACAGAAAAAGTTAAAAAGAACAGCACTGTAAAAAAATTTCTAAATTGTAAATAAAATGATTTATTCGAGTATGTTTCTAAAGATTCATCATGAAAGTGGTCTGCAGGTTTACTTGTGTGCTTGGAATAAAGTGCAAGAGTCCAATGGACCACCTTTATGTTGCTTTTCTTTTTGTAGCTTTACAGCAACTGGTCACTTTGAGCTGTTGATTTATTGAAAGAGGTAGAAAAACAGAAAAAATAAAAAAGTAAAAAAACTGTAAAAAAAATTCTAAATTGTAAATAAAATGATTTATTCGAGTATGTTTTATAAGAAAATATTATTTAAGTTTTTCTACTTCAGAATTTCACATTTAATTCAATGTTTGTTGTAATTGCATTGTAATTATTACCAGCAATTTCTCAGAGAAAATTGTTTCTTGAGTAAATGACTTGAGAATTCTCATTTTAGAATGAACTATTCAGTTTTTGAGAGTTTTTCACCTCTTGTCTGCTCTGTGGATTGCTTCACATAAACAGCAACTTGCATCACTTGCAAACTTTGATCAAACAGTCTGTCGCAGAGCAACAAACAAACTGGGGGCAGGAAATTATCATCAATATCTGATGGCCTTCTGGAATGCAGGTTTTGAATGATTAAAACTGGCAGTGAGCTGCGAAAGCGCTGTGGTTTCCCTAACACAGCAGCAGCCATTGTGTGATGCCAAGACACTGTTTGTGTGGTGAACACGATTAATCTGTTGTGCATGTGTGAAAATAACTTTTAATTATGCTCCTTCATTGCGGTTTCAAACTTTACTGTCTGCACGTTTGGATAATTGCGTGTATTATTTTCAAAAAGGAGCATGTGGAATTCTGGCCCAAGTGGACGTTAAGCTTTAAAGTAAGCATTTTAATGCAAAATAATATAATCAGCACATTTTAATTGGCATTTGACAGCCCTGACATATAATAGATGGCAGTGTTTAATGCAGAGTTGTAAGAAAGCATGCAAAAATGTTGTTCCACATCCACAAGGGGGCACTGAAACACCCAGAGGGGCCAATCACTGGCTTATTAAAAAATGAATTGAACAGCCCTTCTGCAGGCTGTTATTGAACACCTCATTATTGGAGCTTATGTAATCAGCTGAGAATAATGCTCTCAGTGTTACACTTATTAAGACATACCGACAGGTAGCGTAAAGCAAGACTGCTACTGTTTGTTAACACTGGCTTTGTGGACTAATTACCTCTAATGTACTGTACCTCGCTGCAATCACGCATACCCATTGTTGCAGTGTGTGACAAATAGAGTTACTTGAGGTAATATACAAGCCTGCAGAATGGGTGTTCAAGGGCAAGGACAAAATAAATAAATAAATAAATACAGTTGTGATGTGTCTCTCCAGAAGTAACTTTTTTTTTGTAAATAAAAATTGTTATAGGCTTATATATAATATATATATATATATATATATATACACATATATATATATATATTGGATTAAAGCATCTTCTACATGAATAAATGTATATAATGTTTTGTAAATTTCTTTAGCCCTTAGCTGAACCCATTGCAACACAGAAAAACATCTATTTAGCGTGGCAACCATCTGCTCTCATGTCACAAATCTTACAAGAATTCCATCTCGGTGAACAAATGATTATATTGCGATTAAAACTGCTACAAAGTTACTTGAAATTTAGCTATGAGATGTAGTGAAACAACTGCACAAATTACCATATGGTGTTTTGCGGTGAAGTCGGCATTCAAAGCCACAGCGACTGTCATATCAGCCTTGTAAATCTGTGTAATAACAATTGTTTTATTTAAATGATACAATGCAGCTTTAACAGCCAGAGTTAAGCCTGTCAATGAGATTTTTCAGTGTTAGGCAGATGAAAATCCTATGATGGCATGCTGATGGAATAAGAGCAGATCAAATAAAACATTCAGGAGAACCCAAAATTCAACCTCACTAAAGCACAAAGCAGGAAAGTGCATCTGTCTGGTGTCCAATTTAAAGTGATAGAAGTCGGGGGCTCTGCAGTAGCTCATTAATTTTTAAAGGATCGATATCTTCCCATACAGCTGCTACAAATGCGCAGTCCTCCATAATTTCATATTTTTTAATGGTTCGCCCCAGTTTGCCCAATCTAGATTAAGATTTGAGAAAGCTATCAGATACAAACTGTGACACTTTCAGGCGGATAATTAAAATTTTGTGACATGAATTAAATAAAATAAAATCATAGATCTGAATCGAAGACAGCCCAAAGAGTTATAATGACTTTTAAGGGAACAAAGTATAAAAATTAATGCAAGAAAACAAAATACTATATATATGGCATGTTTAAAAAAAAGTAGTGTTTTTTTTTTGTTGTCAATTTTGTCATGTGTTGAGGTTAATGGCTTAAATTTCCACCGGATTTGTTTATAACAGTTTGCTTGCTTGGACATTGTGAAAACTTGGGCAAATGCGAGGACCAGACATGATGGCTGGAAAACTCAGATAAGTCATGCGGCATGGAACATTCACACAAACATAACACACTATCTCTAATTCTGTCGCTTTCCCAGGTACAAGTGAAATGAATCCAAGACTGAACTGGACCAGAGGACAAGCATGACAGGAAGGAGGGGTCTGCAATTTTGCCTGAAGTCATTACCTCCGGAAAACGGAAAGTAAATACATGCTACTGCCACTCAAGATTGCTGGGAAAATTAAAGCATACCATAAATATTGATACAGAGACTGATTGTGTGTGTATTTATTTGTGGGTGTGGGCTTGTGTTTGTGTTTAAGTCGACCATTAGAGATTGCACCAGCATTAAAAGTAGGCTATAGGCTACTATACTACTACACATTTATGCTTACATAAAGTGTGCATATATGCATAGGCGGAGCGTGTGTGGCCACGGGGGTATGGGGCAAAAATGCCACTAAATTGGACAAAAATGCGCCTGCACAAACAAATTAAATCTATTACGTCTGTTGCTAACAAAGTGAATATGAATAGACAGTGTCGATTGCAGCATAAAAATTAAGATCTGCTCATGTTGCTCCATATTTCATTTTAGGCGTTTTTACAGTGTTGCGCATTTTAACCAATCACACATGGTTCTGTTGAGCTTAGGAATGCAATGGCCAATCAGAAGCAATGTAAGTAAGAGATTTTTCAAGGTGTGTACAGCTTCAGGGATTATAAGGAATTTTTTTTTTTTTTTGAGAGTGCTTAAACTCGCCATAGATTAATGTTAGTGATAATGTCACTTTCTATATATAATTTATTAGCTGTTTGAATAACCGTGGAAAGGAAACGTTATATCAGGGGTAGGCAACTCAACAGGCGGCCCGCGGACCGCATCTGGCCCCTCTGCATTAATTTTGTGGCCCTCATGCTGAAGATTAATGTATTTTTATTACAATTTGCGCTCAAAATATTAGGCAGTTGATTTTTTTTATTAAATGTATACAATCGCAGTAAGCTGCTCGATCTCTGCAAGCGCTGTAACTAACGTGCAATTAAAAAGCGACACGCTGCACGCCCCAAACAACGTAAAAGATAAGCATTGTCCAACAAAAGAGGACATTTAATAACATGATTTTACTCCACAACATCAGTCGAGTGTTTGAAATAACTTTTGCGATCTGATGTGCGGTTTTTGTTACGAGGCAGATAATATATTCTATACGGTAATAAAGGCTATGTCGATAAGCATTAGATTATCAATATACTTTATTATTATGAAAATACCAGATATGGCTTGAATAACACAGCTAAGCCATATATTGTCGCGTCGTATGTTTACTGTCGTATATTGTTGGATATTTAAATAAATATCCAGATCGCGAACAGATTCAATCACCCACACAATCTTGTTCATAAATGACAGGATTCAGCTAAGTTATGTCTATTAAAGCCTTAATCACACTGTAACATTCAAATCTGCGTTCGTGCTGCCGCTGACCAGAGAGAGCATTTAAATTAAACATCTTTACAAAGTCTTTTGCATTGTTATTTCTGTGTTACAAACATTCAAATAATCACAGAAGTACTGGAATAAAAGTTTATAGTTCGGATATAAACTGCTGTCTACAGAAGCGATCGAAACAGAATAAATCACCTTTTTGAAAGTGACAATGCTTCAAATAAAGATTGTATCAATTACAACGTAATGCCAGCAGGTGGAGACAAGTGACTTAAAATAAGATTGGTTCAAAAAACGTTGATTCATTCAGGAATGAAACAAGTGAAGTCTTTATGAGCAAGTCATGAAGCTATGAATCAATTGTTTAACTTTTATCAATTTGTTGAATATTGTATTATATAAATAGACTGCAGCAATTTTTACTAGAAACTCTAGTAAATTACATGTTATTTTGTTTAGTTGTCTGGGTTTTTTTTCAGAATCATGGTGGGAAAATAGTGATATCTATTTTTTAAATAAAATATTGATACAATACAGTTAATATAAATATGAAAAATAATACTTCTTTCTAAAGAAATTTGTGAACTGTATTTGCTCAAGAATGTTTCTAGTTTTAGCATTTTGAGTTTGTTCAATACTCTGAGTATGAATGCATTTTTTTGCATCAATATAACAAAACAAACTTTTAATCCAATTTTTTGTTCCAGATTTTTACTCTTAATATATATATATATATATACACACACACACACACACACACACACACATATATATATATTCATGCTCTGTTATTTTAAATAGGACAAGCAAGACTTAGATAAGTAATAAACTGTATTTCTAAATCAGTAAATCTGCAAATATTGTCTTAAATAAAGTCTGATGATGCAAATTGTCATTTGTGGCCCTTCGCATTTTATTTAGGCTAGTTTAAATGCGGCCCGCTTGGCCTCTGAACTTGAGTACCCCTGCGTTATATAATTATCAATTTCTAACGTTTTTATTAAATTGTAATCACGTTAAATACAAATTCAGTCCCATTAAAAAAAATGTTAGCCTACATGACACCCATGTCTGTTTTTTGCCTAAAAAGACGGAATCACACTGTAACATTCAAATCTGCGCTGCGCTGCCGCTGATCCAGAGCAGTTTACGTAGGCTGTATGAAACAAACATCTTTACAAAGTCTTTTGTATCGTTATTTCTGTGTTACAAACATTCAAATAATCACAGAAGTACTGGAATAAAAGTTTATAGTTCGGATATAAACACTGCAGAAGCGATCAAAATAGAATAAATCACCATTTTGAAAGTGAGGATGCTTCAAAAGTGAAAAGTGAAAAGTGACGTGACATGATACAAGTAAAAGATTGTATCAATTACAACCTAATGCCAGCAGGTGGAGACAAGTGACTTAAAATGAGATTCGTTCGAAAAACGTTGATTCATTCAGGAATTAAACAAGTGAAGTCTTTATGAGCAAGTCATGAAGTTATGAGCTATGAATCATTTGTTTAACTTGTTTTTATCAATTTGTTGAATATTGTATTCTATAAATAGACTGCAGCGATTTTTAGTAGAAACTCTGGTAAATTACATGTTATTTTGTTTAGTTGTCTGTTTTTTTTTTTTTCAGAATCATGGAGGGAGAATAGTGATATCTATTTTAAAAATAAAATATTGATACAATATAGTTAATATAAATATGAAAAATAATACTTCTTTCTAAAGAAATTTGTGAACTATATTTGCTCAAGAATGTTTTTAGTTTTAGCATTTTGAGTTTGTTCAATACTCTGAGTATGAATGCAAATTTTTTGCATCAATATAGCAAAAACTTTTTACACTTAATATATATATATATATATATATATTCATGCTCAGTGTTATTTTAAACAGGACAAGGACAAGCAATACTTAGATAAGTAATAAACTGTATTTCTAAATCAGTAAATCTGCAAATATTGTCTTAAATAAAGTCTGATGATGCAAATTGTCATTTGTGGCCCTTCGCATTTTATTTAGGCTAGTTTAAATGCGCCCGCTTGGCCTCTGAACTTGAGTACCCCTGCGTTATATAATTATCAATTTCTAACGTTTTTATTAAATTGTAATCACGTTAAATACAAATTCAGTCCCATTAAAAAAAATGTTTAGCCTACATGACACCCATTTCTGTTCTTGCCTAAAAAGAGGGGTTTATGATGTTTAATACATTTGGCTGCTTTTAGCCTTACCCTGGAGTTGGTTCACCCTCCGCCTATGCATATATGCATATATGTGAACAATTTATTGCACATTATTACACGGC